TATCACTTCTTATCAACAACACCACAGTGAAGATGGCCAGCAGCACGAAACTCCTGGGCGTACAGATAGACCTGTCCTGTTCACTGCACAGTGGAGCTCTTGTAAAAGAGAGCCTTTTGCCCCAATTAAGAAAAGGTCACCTTCCCTTTCCCATCTCTACTACTTTCTTTCGAACGAGTATAGAGATGATTTTGACTACATGCATCTCTGATTGGTCAAGAGCCCGCTTTGCTTTAGACTGGCAATCCCTGAATATAGTGGTGGGGACAGCAGAGAATACTGTTGGGACTCCACTTCCCCACATCTGGGATGATGCCTGACCACAGCAAACAAACACATACGTGACCACTCCCACCCCTACCACACACTGTTCTGCCTGCTGGCTTCATGTTTAACCTTTGGACCTTCAGGCCATACTCAGTGCAGATGTTCCTGTATACTATACTGTAGTGATGGCCCGCTTGAAGCTGACGCTTCGGTGTGTGTGTCAAAAAAATCAACACACTGCTTCAGAAGCACTGTGTCGAAGCTTGATTCGTTTGGCCAGAGTCACGTGATCAGTGACGTCCGATGCTTCATTTAGAGCCTAACTGCTTCGGTGTCTGATTCAATGGTTTATAAGGAAGTGAATCATTCGCGGGATTTGTGGTGTTTTGATGGTGACAGATAGCGAACCACTGATCATTCCACTGAGAGACTTGAAGCCAGCCAGGAATAGAGGAGGTTCTGTTGTGTGGGAGTATTTTGAGTTGACTTTGGTCAATCGGGTGGGTTTTCGAGCTTTGTGTTCTGGCCGTTTGCTTTTGTTTTGTGTGTGTTTATTTGATCTTATAATGGGAAAAAAATTAAAATGTCAAAAAATCTGCTTTCATAATATAAATATCATTAAATAACTTTAGAAAAACTTCCACTTCCACTCTTTACATGTAATGTTATAAAAATATATATTTTATTGTTTAATTAATCTGAAAATGTTAGTCTGCCAAATGTGCAGCAATTTAATCTATTTATTCTCTTTAGCTGATAGTTTGTGGGGCCCAG